ACAATGTCAAGTGGGAAAGACAGATTACAAACATCATAAACAGTAAATAGTTACTATTTACTAAGCACTTACTGTGTTCCAAGAACATTTTACATACATTATCTCGTAACCCCCCTGCAGAGTAGATGGCATTCTCCCCGTTTCACATGTAAGGAAACTGAGGTTGGCGAAGGTGAAATGACTTGCCCGTGCCTGACCATGGGCATTCCCTGGTGGTCCAGTGGTTAGAACTCCAAGCGTTCACTGCAGTGGGGACGGGTTCAATCCCTGGTCGGGGAACTAAGATCCCAGCAGGCCTCGCTGCACGGCCAATTAAAAAAAGAAAGAAAGAAAGAAAGAAAGGGGCTGACCAGAGGAGGAAATCAGGTGCGACTGTGCCAGGCCCCCGGTAACTGCCTTTGTCTCAGGACAGGACCACATTCCCTTGGGAGGGGAGCTCACAGTGACGATTCACAGGGCCCAGGACAATGATGAGCCCAGATGTGAGACTACTGAGGTCAGGAGAGCCGTGGACAAGAGGTGGCAGCAGGCTGGGACAGGAGCCGCCACATTCAGGGCCCCATCCCTGGCCAGGCCAACAGCCCCGAGCCCCACCCTGTGTCCTGGCCAAGTCTGGGTTCCTCCTTCTGGCCCCTAAAACACAGCATGTTCACACTCACTCTCCTGAATGGAGCCCCCATTGAACATTCCCCGACCATGGGATATTCAAGCTTCGCCGACAGAATTCTCCAGGACAAAAGTAGTTGTTTCCTGCAAGCTCCCCAACATCTCCCCACCCCGCCCTCTGTCCAAACAACAGGCGCACAGCAATGGCTCCCATCACCTGGGAACATAGAGGAAGGTGCCAGTGGCATCCACATTCACGCTACGAGAACTCAGGTTCCTGGCAGGGCCCCCTATGCCAGTGTACAGCCCCGTAAGTTCCCCCAGCCAGCACCCTGACCTAAGCAGGGGAATTTCTTGGCCCGTGGCTGAAACACCGGAAGTGCAGCCAGGAGAGTGGATGCAGGCCAGGAGTGTAGGGGAAACCCCTCAAGGCAGGCCCAGGAAGTTTGAGTTCCCTTCAGGACTAACAGTCTGGGACGTGACCTCAACCATAAACCGCCCTATTCCTGAACCCCTCAAATGCTGAATGAAAACAAATGCAGTGATCTTAAACTTCCTCACAAAACAGAATCTTTGTGGAGGTGCTTAAGGAGAATTCCTACGCCCACGACTCCAGGCATTCTGAGCAGTGGTTCTGCGATGCAGCAAAGAATCTGCATTTTACACCAATTGGCCAGAGAAGGCCAGTGTCTGCCAATTCACAAACCAGTAGCTTGAACACCCATCGAGAGAAGCCTGATTTAAATGGAATTCAGTACAAAGGAATGCTATGTGGCCCTCAAAATGAGAACATATAAGCTATTTTGTAAAAAGGGCCAAAGTGAGCAATCACGTGGTTAAAGGACAGGGAGGGAGATGTTTCACCTTCCTCTGAAACCATATGAAAGTATTACCTATTCCAGAATCATTATTGGATGTTTTCTCCTATTAACACTGGTTAGGCAGTCGAGCCACACCTTCTCTTGGCAACCACCTTCAGGGATCTGACAGTCATTGACATCAGGCAAGGAGAGAGGCTTAAGGATGTCATCCAAAAATTCACCTCACGTGGATAGACCTAGAGTCTGTCATACAGAGTGAAGTAAGTCAGAAAGAAAAAGACAAATACGGTATGCTAACACATATATATGGAATTTAAGGGAAAAAATGTCATGAAGAACCTAGGGGTAAGACAGGAATAAAGACACAGACCTACTGGAGAACGGGCTTGAGGATATGGGGAGGGGGAAGGGTGAGCTGTGACAGGGCGAGAGAGTGGCATGGACATATATACACTAACAAACGTAAGGTAGATAGCTAGTGGGAAGCAGCCGCATGGCACAGGGATATCGGCTCCGTGCTTTCCGACCGCCTGGAGGGGTGGGATCGGGGAGTGGGAGGGAGGGAGACGCAAGAGGGAAGAGATATGGGAACATATGTATATGTATAACTGATTCACTTTGTTATAAAGCAGAAACTAACACACCATTGTAAAGCAATTATACCCCAATAAAGATGTTAAAAAAAAATACCTCACTATTGGACCAAAAGAAGTTAAAAGGTCACTTCCAGGGCGAGGTCTCAGGGGACGAGGGAACTACATCTCACTGTCCTGGTGCAGCCTCCACTGGTGGGACTTGAATAAGTTTTCCGGTTAAGGTTTTCCGTATCTGAGGTCAACGCAAGGAAAGCCAGGAACTCGACCCAGGAAGCCTAGTCCTAGAGCGGCACGATTGCTCCGCCCCCTTGAGGCCTATGGAAGTATTTCTCTAGAGTAAACTATCCACCACAGCCGGGGCTACTGGGCAACACAGAGGCCTCCACTTCTAGGGGCGGAGCCTAGGAAGGGGCGGGGCTTAGCGTGAGGATGCTTTGCGACTCAGGTTCCGCCGGCGTCGCTCCCAACATCCTCGGCCCACTCCTGCGCAAACCACTCCACGTGAGGGCCTGAAGATTCACACAAGCAAGGCCGAGCCCAGCAGCTCCCCTAGAAGCCAGAACTGAGGGATCCCGAGAGGCGCCTCCAGAGCTCCGAAGGCTCCTCCTTCGTTCCGCAGTCCTGCGAGCCAGCGCCCTGCTTCGGCCTCACCTGTCAAACCGATCTGTCACTGCCTGCAGGACCCAGCCCTTCCTCGCCTACTGCCAGGCCCCAGGCCCGCGGCCACATTGAGAAGATGGGCAGCCGGCCCCGCAGCCCCAGCGCCTTCCCTGCGGACCGGTGGGGACCGCATCCCGGAGGACCGGGCCCTGCCAAGCGCCGGCGAACGGAGGAGCCCGCGGGCCCCAAGTCCAAGTCCAGGGCGGCATCCAGCCTGGACAACCTGACCTGGCCCCCGACCGTGGACACTCTCATCTTCGTGGTGGTCCTGCCCGCCGGCTGTGCCCTGCACGTGCCCCTGGACGACGTCGACCTGCTGCTGGAGTCCGAGCCAACGTCCGTGCTGCAAGTGTCTCTCGGAGATCACATCCTCATGCTGGTCCCTGAGGCCCTCCTGGGCCCGGGTGTGGAAGGCCTGTGGGGACAGGGCCTGGGACGGGGCGCTTTCCTGAGCCCTCCCGGGGAGCACATGGCCCCGGAGCCGGGATTCTTGTGCGCAGCTGTCCCAGAGATCGCCTGCCAAGAAGAGGTCAACGAGGAGGACGCGGATGCTGACGCCGACTTCCTGCCGGCTGGGACAGATGCTGCTGCAGTCTCAGTCGCTGGGCTCCGCCCCTCGGCTGGATGTATGTCTGGCTTCCACTTGTTGGGCCAAGCTTCAGAGCCGTCCCCTCGGACGCCCAACACTAGTCCAGAGAGACGCTCTCCTCACCACGATGACTACCTAGACTTGCACCTTCCAGAGCCCTTCCCTGACTCACCACTCCAACCTCTACCTCCCTCTCCAAGTCCAGGTCCTCACCAGCGTCCCCAGCGCCCTCATGGTCCTCCACGCAAGATCCGGAAATGCCTGTTCCCTTAATCAACTGCCTCCCACAATTCCTGGCCAACTCAACGGGGACCAGGAGAGAGTCTTCTGATATTGGCTGTGTGTACCTTGCACACACCGTAAGAATCATATGAACAGACGCTTTATGGATGCAGGCTGCACTGCAGAATTCTGATCAGTGACTGAAAGGAAGCTCACCCGGGCAAAGAAAAGCCGCTTGAAATACAGTCTGCTTTCCGACAGCCAGACTGCTCCTTAGATTTTCTCTAGGGAGGGCACCCTTAAGCAGCTCTACCCCCCTCCCATTCGCTTCAAACCTAAGCGCCAGCACTTCTCTCTAAAAAGCCATCCTTTTCCGGGCACCCTACCACTGCCCATACCCCTGTTCCCCCCAACCCCCTTAATAGAGTAATTGCTAAATTTGTTTTGTTTACAGGGGTTTGGACCTAGTGTCCAGACTAGTTTACAACAACCCTCTACCCAGTTTGACCTTTTTTGGATGGCAGCTCGAGCCCCTTTGCGGGAATCTAGCCAGTAGTTGTATGTGGACAAATCTTTGTTGGATACAGAACACAGGATGGGGAACAATGATCAGGCGCCCTCCTCTTTGTGAATGAGCAGGTTGGCAAATGGTTTAACTTTATTGCTGGGTTTGGGGTGGTATTTTCCCAAAAGAGCCAACTGTTTTCCATTCTTCTTATATGCTTTTAATATATTTCTCTTGTCCTGGAAAAGTTTGTAATTCTAAAGATTCTGTGTTTTATACTTCTAAGATCCCAAATAGGTTTTGTACGTTACTACTAGCATATAGAAATAATTTGCTCTTATATTGGTCTGATATCCAGCAAAATTACATAATTTCTGTAACCACTTCTCTGTAGATTCTCTTGCTTGACTGATAAAGATCTCTCCAAATAATGAGAGTATGTCTCTTTTTTTTTTCACAAGCCTCTTACATCTTATTTTTCCTTAATCTTTTTTAAAAATAAATTTATTTATTTATTTTTATTCATTTATTTTTGGCTGCGTTGGGTCTTCGTTGCTGTGTGCGGGCTTTCTCTAGTTGCAATGAGTGGGGACTGCTCTTCGTTGTGGTACGCGGGCTTCTCCTTGCGGTGGCTTCTCTTGTTGGGGAGCATGGGCTCTTGGCGTGTGGGCTTCAGTAGTTGTGGCACGCTTGCTTCAGTAGTTGTGGCTCGCGGGCTCCAGAGCACAGGCTCAGTAGTTGTGGTGCATGGGCTTAGTTGCTCCGTGGCTTGTGGGATCTTCCCAGACCAGGGCTCGAACCCGTGTCCCCTGCATTGGCAGACGGATTCTTAACCATTGCACCACCAGGGAAGCCCCTCCTTAATCTTTTTTATTGGATATTACTTCAAGTAACATATCCAGGTTGACTGGTATAGTCAATAGAGTCATCCCTTTCTTTTTCTTTTGTTTTTTTGAAGTATAGTCGATTTACAATACTAGTTTTTGGTGTACAACAAAATAATTCAATATTTTTATAGATTATATTCCAGTTAACGTTATTACAAAAAATGGATATAAATCCTCTGCTGTACAACATGTCCTTGTTCCTTACTTAGTGTATACACAGTAGTTTTAATCTCTCAGTCCTCTACCCTATCTTGTTCCTCTCTCCCCTCTGTCCGGTGGCAACCACTACTTTGTTCTCTTATGTGAGTCTGTTTCTGTTTTATTCTATGCATTTATTTGTTTTATTTTTTAGCTTCCACATATGAGTGATAGCATAGAGTATATGTCTTTCTCTGTCTGACTAATTTCATTAGGCAGAATACACTCTAGGCCCATCCACGTTGTTGCAAATGGCAGAACTCCATTCTCATCAGACTGGCATCCATTTGCACACACTTTGCAGTGGGTATTCAATAAAACCAAATGAGGTTTTCTTCTCCTGATTTTCTTTTGCCCTGAAAGTTTGGCTTTAATCCAGAAAGAGTGTTCTCTTTGATGTCAGGTGGTAGAGGCTCTGGAGTCTTCATTCAGAGAAGTCACGTTGGGGCCTAAGTCATGAGATGTACAAGCACCTCATTTACCCACCATTGCCAGCTCTTATGGGGTAGTTTAAATGTAGAGCTTCTACTCTTCCAGGAAAGATGCCTGCTTCTTACATGTCATCTCACTCAACTCCTCATAGCTTCACTAAGGAGGATTTGGCTTGAACAAAATTGTGCATTTGAGAGGCTCCTTCAATAAGAAGGGGAGAAGATTTCTCAGTTTCAATGGGCAGCATATTTTGATTTGGCGTAAGGAGGCTTCCAAACAAAACTCTGAATCAAAAGCTGCTTCAATAAAACATTCTCTGGGGCTTCCCTGGTGGTGCAGTGGTTGAGAGTCCGTCTGCCAATGCAGGGGACACAGGTTCGTGCCCCGGTCTGGGAGGATCCCACGTGCCGCGGAGTGGCTGGGCCCGAGAGCCATGGCTGCTGAGCCTGCACGTCCGGAGCCTGTGCTCCACAACGGGTGAGGCCACAGCAGTGAGAGGCCCGCATACCGCAAAAAAAAAAAAAAAAAAATTCTCTGGCCAAAGCTAATGACCAATTTGAAAAACAACTAGACTTGTTTCTCTATTAAGTCCTCCAGTTGCCTTTCCCAAATCTCCCTCTGCCTCATCTCCTGCCATTCTCTCTCCTTCTGAAATTCCACTGACTCGTCTTTTAATTCCCCTTTTCCAGGTCCCCTGCCTTTGCCCAACAAACCTCCCAAGCACCCAAAATGCTAGCTGTCTCTGAAGATCCACCCCCATGCACCAGACAACTTCAGAGTTTAAACCTTGGACCTGAGCTGAATTAAGAGCTATTTGTAAAAATGTCTCTAAATTCAGACAACACCAGCATATATTCAGAGAAGAATTTAGCGTTCTTTTGGGTGCATAAGCCCCAGACTTGTCTTGACACAAATCACTCATGCACATATTGGTCAGAACTGCCGATGCTCATTTCTGGATGGCAAAGCAGACTGGACTGACCCAGGAAAGGACCTGCAGGATCTCTCTTACCACAATAAACCTAAGGGTTCAATAACAAGCCTGAAAAGTTGGGCAAAGTTTCCTAAATATCATACCTGAAACATTTCCAATAAAGATCAATGCAACTGCTACTCTTTCTATAACAAGCCCTGCCACCTTTGCTCGTCCTCTTCCTTGGCATAAACGTCCCACACACGTGATCAGTATTTCAAATAATTCACAGATTTTCCCTGTCTCTCAGCCTTTATATGTAACCCTTGAGCCCTCTGACTGGAAACATTCCTTCCTGCTCCATGACAACACACCTGCCAATCTAACAGGGTAGAACTTAACTTTACACATAGAACTGTTTATTAGAAGCACACCAGAGGGACTATTTCTTGAGTTTT